CCCCCCCCCCTCCTCCCCACGAACACTCAGCTCTGCCTCGTGACCGGCGCATCCTCTGGTTTGGGGATGCACTTCGCCAGGACGCTGGCCAACCATGGAGCCAAGGTTTGTGGGATTCGTGCTTTGTATCATCACACACCGAACGGTGGTGAGGCTGCTGCCATTTCTGCCGAGTCTCAAGACAAACCACATTTTATTTCGTCGGTGTATTGTCCTCGATAGGCACTAACTTCCTGAAGTTTGAAACTTCGCTAAAGCTTAAGCTTTCTCAGTCGCTCTCTCCTTCCCTCCTCGTGCCGGCCTGCATCCTCCACCGCACCTCTACTTGAAATGGTTCCACCACTTCCCCTCGAGAGCTGCATGCATGCTGCGTTTTCCCGCCTAGTGTACGCCGACCGCAAGCATTCATCATGTACACCCTTTCGTGTGCGGAAAAACTGACTGCGGTGGTAGCGGCTGGACCCCGATGTCTTAGTTACGGAAAAACTGACTACGGTAGTAATGACTGTACCCGGATGTCTCAGTTGCAGTGGTGTTTTCACACTCCCGGGGTCTCCGGGTTGACCCATTGTCAAGACCGTCCAGGAAGAAAACCACAAAGCGGTACCAGACGATTTTGTTGTTGGAGAGTTTTTGCAGAGCGCGCACACGCGCAGACCGGATATGTATCTCGAAGGACTTTGCGCGTCCTCGATTCTGTGTGTAGGACCTCTCAATTAAGTATATCCGTCTGGCAGGAGATGGAGAAGAAGGGCATGATCATTAAAACACTTAAACCCAAAGATTGAGCAGGCAGTCTAAGCTGGTGCTGCTGTGCCGCAGGTCTCCTCTAGCGCAACCAGCGATAGCCGAGATCGCAGGTTCTATTGTGGTCGCCCCTTGATACACATGTCGCGTAGGGCAGAAGCTCCGTGATGTTTTATTTAAGATATGTCTGAAGACGCATGGAGCGTTCCCCGGAACCTTTCGCACCCCGCGAAGGTGGCCGTCGCGGCTCGACGACTGGACCGGCTCGACGCTCTGGTGGAAGAGCTCACGCTCGGGGGGGCGGCAGGCGTGTGCGCGGTGAGGATGGACGTACGCGACGAGACCAGCATCAAGGCCGGGGTCAAACAAGTGAGTTGGGACTGGGCAGGCTGGCTGGAACAAGCATGTGTGAGTGTGCGCATGTGTGGATGAGTGTTGGCCGTGAAAACAACTTGTGTGTCTGGAGGGGAGGACATCGCGTTTCTTTCTTGCGATACTGGGGTGTTTGGCGGATGTTTGTCTTGCCCAGCTCGTAGAACGTGGTAGCCCGTTTTCTTTCCACCCCTTGTGTGACCGAAGTGACCTGTGTGGTTGAGTGCTGGTGCATGGCAACGAAGATCTCTATATATATTTTCCTCACACGCGCGCGCCCTCTCGTGGGACGAGCAGGTTGAACAGATTCTGGGGCCAATCGACGTGCTGGTCAACAATGCCGGGGTGGCCGTGCAAAGCCCCTCCCTCAAGCAGACCAGGAGAGAGTGGGAAAAGGTGCGCCAAAGCGGGGATCTGTGACTGCCAGTATATCGGCAGCAAAAAGCGCCCTTTCTACCAATGGCTCGTCTTGTGCTGGCCACGCTTGACCACATGCAACATCGACACAGCGCAAGGCGGCTTTCACCGCGCATAATGATGTTCCCACTGTACTCCTAGCCCTACTCGGTAGGTGCTTCTGCTGCGGCCGATGACGCTGCGCACTACCGTGGATGCGGTGCAGCAACAAGACAAACAATAACAACAGCATAGTATTTTTGCAGAGGTTCCTAGGACCCTATCCTCTTCCCAGAACTGTTCATGATGACACTTCTCCTCGTGCTCCCCACTGGCCAGGTTCTCACCTGGTCAGTCAATACCGAACGTGCCCTTCTATGTCAAACTTTGTCGGGATGCCAGGGCCAAGGCTTTGGCCTTAAGAAAGCTCTAGGTCATGCGCACTGCTAAGCCCCCCCCCCTTCCCCCCCCGACAGTTACACGCAGACAGGGTGCCCGGCTGTTGGTATTTTTGAATGACCTGATGCATGGTCAAGACGTCATGGGACTGACTAAGGCAAGCGACGAACGAGTAATCCTCCTCCCCCTCTCGGTCTCCTTGTCCGACACTTACCGCCAAGCAGGTGCTCGACACCAACCTGGTGGGCCCGTTCATGGTGGCCCAGGCCGTGGCCCGCAGCATGGTGCGAGAAAAACGGAGCGGGAGCATCATCAACATATCGAGCGTGTCAGGCATGGTGCCCTCCTCGGGTGAGACGGAAAGGCACAAGGGGGGGGGGGGGGGGGGG